TGCGTGTTATCATCCACACTGTAACCAGAGTGATCACTTAAGGTGAGCTATTACCAGCAGGAGAGCGGGGTGGGGGAAGGGGGGAACCTTTTGTAGTGATAATCAAGGTGGGCCATTTCCAGCAGTTGACAAGAAGTCTCTATTCAAGCCTAAGTTAATTGTATCCAGTTTGCAAATTAATTCCAATTCAGCAGTCTCTCGTTGGAGTCTGTTTTTGAAGTTTTTTTGTTGAAGTATTGCCACTTTTAGGTCTGTAATCGAGTGACCAGAAAGATTGAAGTGTTCTCCAACTGGTTTTTGAATGTTATAATTCTTGAGACTGAGAGTGGATGGGTCATTACACAAAGTAAAACTATTTCCCCATCTTTATCCCCCCCCACCTGTTCCTCAGACGTTCTTGTCAACTGCTGGAAATGGCCCACCTTGATTATCACTACAAAAGTCAGTCTCCCCTCCCCCCCCCCCCCCCCGTCTCCTCCTGGTAATAGCTCACCTTAAGTGATCACTCTGGTTACAGTGTGTATGGTAACACCCATTGTGTCATGTTCTCTATGTATCTAAAACTCCCCACTGTATTTTCCACAGAATACATCCGATGAAGTGAGCTGTAGCTCACGAAAGCTTATGCTCAAATACATTTGTTAGACTCTAAGGTGACACAAGTACTCCTTTTCTTAGAACAAAGTAAATTATCAAACCAAATAAAATAAAACATGCAAGTCTATGCCTAATACAGTAAGTGATTACAGATAAAATCTCACCCTCAGAGATGTTCTAAAAAGTTTTTTTCAGACTAGCCGCCTCCTAGTCTGAGTCCAGCAATCACTCACACCCCTGTAGCTTTCAGAGTAACAGCCATGTTAGTCTGTATTCGCAAAAAAATAAATTGGTTAGTCTCTAAGGTGCCACAAGTACCCCTGTAGCTATTGTCCTTTGTTCCAGTTTCTTTCAGGCATCTCCCTGGGGTGGAGAGGCTATCTTTTGTGTCACCTGAAGACAAAATGGTGGGGTCTCCCAGGGGCTTTAATAGATTTTCTCTTATGGATGGAGACCCCCTCTTCTCTCCTATCCAGAATCCAGCTCCAAGATGGAGTTTTGGAGTCACATGGGCATGCATGACTCCGTTTCTTACCAGCCAGGCCACATTCCTAGGGAAGCTCAGATGTGGATTGGCATCTCCAAGTTCATTGTTAGCTTAAGTGTTTCTTGATTGGGCACTTACTGAGATAGTCTTTTCTCAGGAAGCTGGCCAACTGCTTCACTGAGGCTGCTTAAAATTAAACAAGAACATAGCCAATATTCAAAACTTCAAATACAAAAATGATACAGGTATACAAATAGGATCAATATATCCAGTAGATCATAACCTTTGCAGAGATGTGTTACATGGCATATCTAGCATGAAACATATTCCAGTTATGTCATATTTACTTTCATAGGCATATTTCCATAAAGCATTATGGGGTGCAACATCACAATGACCACCTATCTATAATGTGAAGGGAAAAACGCTGTGTGCTCATAAAGGACTTCAGCTTGAGTGACATACACTGGAGATCTCATGTTCCCCTAAATGAGGAGGAGCAACCGTGTTAGTCTGTATTTGCAAAAAAAAAAAAGTACTTATGGCACCTTAGAGACTAACCAATTTATTTGAGCACAAGCTTTCGTGAGCTACAGCTCCCTTCATCTTAACCAACAGAGAGGAATTGATCACAGAACTAAAAATTGCTGTTCGCTTACAGGAGCGGATTTACCCTGAAACATGCCGTGCCGTGGCACAGGGCCCCCAACGACTGGGGGCCCCAAAACATAGGCATGGTGACTAGAGGTACGGGGGTGCTGCAGTACCCCCATGTTTTTTGCAGGGCTCCGCTTCTGCCTGAGTTCCTGGCTGCCACCCCGCGCCCAAGGTTCTGCGGGCTCTGCCGCCCTGCGCCACTGATGTTAAAACATATTGTTAGGAGCACAGAGCCACCCAGGTTCCTGGGGAGACAGGGAGGTGTCTGAGCTGAGCCACTGGGGCTGCAGCACAGCCGTGGCGGCTAAGGGGGATCGCAGCCGCCCGCTTTGCAAGGACCTAGCGGCCAGGGGAGGCGAGCAGAGATCAGCGCATGGAGGCAGCGGGGTGCTGAGGTGGCTGCCGACGGAGCTGTGCCCTCCGCCCCCTTCAGGTGGGTGTTCAGCCCCCATGGGTTTCTGCCCACTTCTCCAGGCCAGCCAGCATGGGTCTGCCGGGGCACCCGAAGCTGTCCTCGGCCATGAAGATCTTGGTGTCTCCTTTCCTCCACAGCCCCATGGCAGTTCTGCTCGTACGCTGCCTCTGGGGTACCCTAGGGTCCCGGCGGGCGCCCTGCGCCCAGGGCTCTGCGGGCTCCATTGCTGCCCCACTGACCAGCCAGGAGAAGTGGGCAGAGACCCACTTGGGCTGAACACCCACCTGAAGGGGGGGGCTTGGCTCCATTGGCGGCCACCTGAGCACACTGCTGCCTCCACACGCTCACCTCCGGTGAGTCCTTGCAATGCAGGCTGCTGCGATCCGCCTTAGCCGCTGTAGCCCCCGTGGCCGGGCTCGGGCACCTCCCTGTCTCCCCAGGGGACCGGGCAGTTCTGTGCTCCTAACACTATGTTTTAACATAAATGGTGCAGGTCAGCAGTGGAGCCCCGCTTAAAATGTGGGGGCACTGCAGCACCCCCTGCACCCAGGGCTGCTGATGGGGGGGGAAGAAGCAGCTGCCGGGGGGCCTGGCAATTTTAAAAGGGCTCAGGGCTCCCAGCCGCCACTACTGGGGTGGGGGCCTCAAAAATGAAGCTGCGCACAGGGCCCCACCAACTCTAAATCCCCCACTGTTTGTTTAGGTGCAAGACTACGCTGGTTAGACAGCTGCCTGGCTGTGAGAGACGAAGTAAAAGCAGCAGTAAAATTTTATATATAAATTATATTAGTTGCTATCAACTTCCCCTTTTTTCCATTTGTTCTAATGACAAATGGGAAAAAGGAGAAGTTAATAGAAATTAACATAAATCACAAGATAGTAACGGTAGAAACTTAAGAAAAGAAGCAAAAGGACACAAAGAAAAATTTTCTTGTCCTTATTTCTGCTTGCCATAAAATTTTTAAATACATTAGGAACAAAAGGAATCCTACAATGGTAACTGGTCCATTACTAGAGGAAATAGTGGAATTGTCAATAATAACACAGAAAAGGCAGATGTGTGTTTGATAAATATTTCTGATCTATGTTTGGGGGAAAAAGCAAGACAGTAGTTTCATCTCATATGATTATGATGAAATATTTTCCATTCCAACAGTAACTAAGGAGGATGTTAAACAACAGCTACTAAAGTTAGACATTTTTAAATCAGCAGGTCTGGATAATTTTCATCCAAGAATCTTCAGAGCTGGCTGGGGGGCTCTCTGGCCCCTGCTATTGATTTTGAATAAGTCTTGGAACACTAGGGAAGTTCCAGAAGACTGGAAGAAAATTAATGTTATGCCAGTACTTAAAAAAAAATAAATGGGAGGACCAAGTAATTATAGGCCTGTCCGTCTGAGGTGGATCCCGAGCAAAATAATAGAACGGCTGATGTGGGACTTGATGATGAAAGACGTAATGAGGGATAATGTAATTAATGACAATCAACATGGGTTTATAGGGTGACAAAATCTGTTTTCTAACTGGATATCTTTTTGGATGAGATTACAAGTTTAGCTAAAAGTAATAGTGTCAATGTAACATACTTAGACTTCTGTAGGGCACTTGACATGGTATTTTAATTTGTCAAGAAATTAGAATGACACAAAATGAACATGCCACACATTACATGGGTAAAAACATAGCTAACTAATACATTTACAATTTCATTTTGAGAGCTGAGGAATCATCATCCAGTGGGTGTGTTTCTGGTGGAATCCCACAGGGATCGATTCTTCTATGTTGTTTAACATTTTTGTCAATGATCTGGAAGAAACTATGCAGGGAACAAAAATTTGATAACAGAGTATTCTTCAGTCTAACAGACAAAGGTATAACAAATGCTATAGGTACCTACACGGAGAAGAGATTTCTGAACATAGACTGCTCTTTAATCTACCAGAAAAAAGGCATTACAAAATCCAATGGCTGGAAGTTGAAGCTAGACATTTTTAGACTGAAAACAAGATGCACATTTTAAGTGAAGGTAATTAACCATAGGAACAATTTACTAGAGATGTGGTGGATTCTCTGTCACTGGAAATCCTTAAATCAGGATTGCATGTTTTTCTAAAAGATGTGCTCTCATTCAATCACAGTTATTAGACTTGAAGCAGGAGTTAATTCAGGCAAGTCCTATGGCCTGTGTCTTATAGGCAGTCAGACTGGATAATGATAATGGTGCCTTCTGACTTTAAAATCTATGCATCTGTGAGAGCCAGAGACTAGAACAGTACAGCATGGACAAATGCCCTGTAAATGTATCCCAGAGCTAGAGTTGGGGGTTGGTTACATCCAAAATTAATTGGGTGAAATTGCCAACATGTTTTTGGTTCAAAGTGTTTTAAATTGAACCTAGTTTTCTTTGTTAGATTTTTTTTTTGTGATTTTTGTTTTTTTGTTTAAATTTTTAGTAAAGACACTGTCAAAAAGATCACTGGAACTTTGCATTTACCTAAATCAGCTATTTTCCTTTTACCAAAAAAAACCTGACAATTGGGAGAAAACCAAAAAAAGTCAATATCCATATTGATAATGCTTCTGATTTGTTTTTTATGTGAAAAAAAAAAATCAACAAATTATCCAAAAAGGCATGAAAATGTTGATGTCAAATTTAAATCTTGCTTTGATGTTCAAAATTTCAACAATGTCACCAAGGCAAGAGGGATTTTCACTTCAACAAAAAGGAGTCAAGTTTCCTAGAGACTTTGTTTTTTTCATAAGGCTCAATTATCTGATTATGAGCCCCCCCAAAAGGCGGGGGAGGTTCTTCTAACCTGGAGGATTTGACTGGACAGTTTCTGGAGCCTGTCAGTCCCCAGGCCCTGAACTATTTCTTGCTCTTTATCACCCAGCATGCCAGGTTTTCAGAATGCAGGATCCTTCCCCCTCAAAATTGGAATAATCCCTGAAATCCAAGGATATGTGACAGGTTTCAAAGTAGCAGCCGTGTTAGTCTGTATTCGCAAAAAGAAAAGGAGGACTTGTGGCACCTTAGAGACTAACCAATTTATCTGAGCATGAGCTTTCGTGAGCTACGGCTCACTTCATCGGATATGTGGCATCTCTAGCCAGGTCCCTGCCCCCAGTGCCAGCACTGCCCCTACGCTTCATCACCCTGCAACTCAGCCACATAAACAGTTTTTATTTGGGCCGCTGCCCCTAATACCCTACTGCCCTAGTAGGCAACGACCCAGCCAACCAACTCTGCCTTATGTGGTTGAGGCTGCTTGTCCTCTGTGCTTGGCACACAGCAGGGAAGATGTGGGGGAGGGAGGGAAAGGCAGCCTGAGCAGCTGTTTATCTCCCCTCTGATTCCTGTCAGCAGCAGGAGGAGGTGAAGAGCAATGACCTGGGTGTCACTAACACCACCCCCCCTTCTTGCATCACGAACCACAGTGAAAGCATTTCCCCAGCAGTAGCAGCAAAAGCAGCAGCCACTGCCTCATGTGTCTCCCAGTGTGACATCAGCAGGAGCTTGCACCATGGGGCTCTCCTGCACGCACCTCCTTCTCTTGATGCTGCTTGGTTTGTGGTGGCCAGGTTTGGCGTGGCATCGGGTGGGAGCAGCTCGGGTCCGGGAGCATTACATAGCCGCAGAGACCACCAGCTGGAGCTACAGACCCCAGTCCAAAGAACAGTCCAGGTAAGAGTAGGAAGATGTGGAGGCAACCAGCTCCCTCCTGGGCTGAAAGGGACTTGAGTCTCCTGAGGAGTTTGTGCAGAGCTGGGCTTAGGGCCTGATCCAGCCTATGGAAGTCGATAAGAGTCTTTGCATTGATTCCAGTTGGATGAAGCCCTTAATTCAGTTCAATGCTATCAGCTGTTTTATTCACACCATGTGATTTTTTTTGGAGCCGTTATTATTGATGCCATTTTGACAAAGGCAAACTTGGACTCAGTCCCATGTCCTCTGTGCCCCCCAAACTGTCACTGGGGTCAATCCTACATTGAGAATTTTTGCATGAGTCTCGGGAGATTCTGCAGCTAGGTGAAAACATCAGAATCTCAGCTTTCATTTCAACAGTAAAAAAAAGTTTCTGGCCCTCACAGTTGTGTAGAAAAGCTCAAAAGCCACAAGGCAAATAAAAAAACTCTCAACATTATTATCTGTTTAAAATCTCATCATTTGGGGGGAAATTTGAAGTTCTTTTTATTTGCTTTTTGGTCACATGTCACATTTTCCAAGTTTTCTCTGCAACCACTAAAAATGTACTGTTTTTTGGGGGGGGGGGGTTAATTATTTTTTATTTTTTTAGAAAACTGAGATTCTCATGCAAACTTTTGATTCAAGTGACTGGGGCTTTAAGAAAAAACATCAAATGTCGCAGAACTAACCAAAAAAATCACCAGAGTTGGCAAAATTACATCTATTTTTAAATAAGAAAAGATCCCTTACAAAAAGCACCATAGATTTTTAAAAATGTAAATGAATAATCTAGTTTACTTTCTTTATGGTTGCTTACTAAGTACATTTCTTCAGCTGAGGTGATGAATACACAACAGTCAGTTTCACCATGTTCATGCTTTCTGCTCAGTTTCACTTTCAGGTTCCCATGGCAACACTGACAAATTTTTTGGGATTAGTATTTTTTTTTTTTTTGTGGTTAAAAACCCCCCCAATAAGTACCAAAAGGTAAATGACTTACAGCTGATATACGCTGCTGAATACTGCAGGCTTCATGGGATCTCCAACAGAATTATGCAATTTTACAACTCTTCAAAGCTGCAAGAACAGACCATACAAAACCAGACAGTACTATATAGGTGTAACACAGTAGGGTAGAGGTTACAGTAATAATATAAAGAACAGGAGTACTTGTGGCACCTTAGAGACTAACCAATTTCATGGGCTTATGCTCTAATAAATTGGTTAGTCTCTAAGGTGCCACAAGTCGTCCTGTTCTTTTTTTCGGATACAGCCTAACACGGCTGCTACTCTGAAACCAGTAATAATATAGGAGACCTACATGAATAGGGAGAGGAGGGAAGGACCCAGGAGGGAAAAGGTGGAGGGGTTAGGTGGCATGGAAGTCGGACATTCTTTGATCCGTTTGAATGTTTTTTATTCAAATGTGTCTCGAAAGGGGGCCCAAAACTTCTCTGAATGCATTTAATTGATCTCTAAAGTGATTACCTATTCTTTTATTGGCTGCTAACTCAGAAAGAAGTTGGTCCAGTAAAAGATGTTCCCTCACCCACCTTGTCTTGCTCATATCCTGGGACCAACACAGCTACGCCAACACTAAAAACAACTCAGGTCTCAATAGGACTGCTCTATTTTGGTCAATTTTTTACAAACAAAATCTCATGTTTTTGAACATTTGAGGCTGGCAGTGCTGTGTATGATATGACCAGGTGTAATTTTTCAGTGCACCCTGCCCTCCAAACATACACCGTTTGGGCTTGCCTTCATACGTCCATGATGTTTCCAAGCTGCTCTTTGGTTTCTTTTGTGCTACGTGTATGTCTCCCACTCATCGCTGTGTATAGAAACCAAGCTGGCTAGAGGTTTGGCTCTGTTTACACACACTGGCTGGTCAAAGATTATTTCTGGCTGTACGTTATTGCTCATCCTGGGAGAAACGTTTGATTTTTGAAATTTCAATTCAAGATTTGCATGAAAAAATGTCAGGTTTTTCTAATGATTCTCTTCCTTTTGTCATAACTTCCTTCTTCCTACGCCCCAGGGTCGGTCAGGCAAGTTCCATCAAACATCATAACATGAGGTCACATATCACCTTTGTGAGGACAAACTCTTGCAGGGAAAAACTCAGCAGTGAGCTCTATAGAGCAGAACCTTCTCTTGCTGAAGTCAATGACAGGGTCCCCAGTTCTGCTCCCCATGGAGTAGACACCTATGGCGTTTCTGCCCGATTCTTTCCTTGCGGGAGAGTGATTTCGGGTAATCCACAGCCTTGCAGGGCAGCAGATCTGCTCTGAACTCAGAGGCTGGATCCTGAGCCATCACCATGGGCTGACCTCCCCTTCATCCACCTGCCCTGCCTCCCTGTCTGTGTACTGTCATCAACTTCCCCCTACGAAGCCTGTGCCTTACATTCCTGAAAGGAAGGTAGGAGACTTTGAGAGGGAGTTGTTGCTGAACGCCCCCTGCAGTAGTTACCAAGAAATCTACCAATCAGCTAGGGATGCATGACACAAAATGTAGCGGCTCTGCCCCTCCAACCTTCATTTCAGCTCAACACCCATCATCCAAGAGCCATGTGCGCTCTTTCTCTTGCCTGCTTGGGTTCCTTCTACAGCACAGGGCGTGGGATCCATTTGTGCATATACTTTTATGCATCAAAAGGTAAAGACAGTTGCCACATTTCCCAAGAAGCAATTTCCTGAATGGCTTTGATCCCTGGGCTGCCTTATAAGAGGCCAGTTTGCTCTTTCAAAGGAGAACGAATCACATTTTCTTTTTTACCTAAAAGTCACAGCAGTTACAGATAATTGCCACACTGAATGATTGTGCTGAGATCATTGCAGGTGATGTTGAAAATGAAGCACAGGGATGGGGGATCCAGGTTCTGCTCCCATCTCTACAGTACACTTCCTTTGTGACCTTGGCCAGGTCACTTCAGCTCTCTGGATTCCTATCCTCCCAACTGTGAAATAAGGAAACTAATACCAACCTCACAGTAGAGCCGAAAGGAGCCACAGCATAGCAAAACGTGGTTTGTTACGTTATTAAACTCTATCACAATAGTGTCCAGAAGCCCCACCTGCGACTGGGGCTCCATTGTGCTAAGTGCTGAATGAACATGTACTAAGAGACTCCCTGTCCCCAAGAGCTTACACTCTAAATGGACACAATGGGAGAGGAAACAGATGAAATGAGTTACCCAAGTGACAGAGCCAAGAATCGAAGCCAGGTCTCCAGTGGCCCGGTCTCCTGCCCGCTCCACTGGACCACACTGAATAGCTAAGGAGCTTTACCTTTAATTTATTTTTTTTAATACTTCCTATTGCAGATTAGAAAATTCAGAGCCTGTGTTTAAGAAAATTGCCTATAGAGAGTATGAAGCAGATTTTAAGAAAGCAAAACCAACAGATACTTTCTCAGGTAAGCAGAAAATAACTTTCAAAGCCAATGTCTTCTATGGGCAGGAAAACGTACCTGTATTTGTGTACCCACGGCTAGCATATACTGCAAGCCAAGCAAATATATAGAGAATTTAGGTGGCTCTTCTCTATAGCCCAGGAGCCAAAAGCCCAATCCCTTAAAAATATTGGCCTCTGTTATCAGTATTGATTAAACTGGAGAGGGTTCAAAGAAGAGCCACAAGAATGATTACAGGGTTAGACAACATGCTGTATAGTGATTGAGGTCTCAGAGTCTATCTATTTAGCGTAACAAAGAGAAGGCTAAGGTGGTGACTTGATTACAGTTTATAAGTATCTACGTGGGGTGCAAATATTTAATAATGGGCTCTTCAATCTAGCAGAGAAAGGTATAACAGGATCCAGTGACTGGAAGTTGCAGCTAGACAAATTCAGACTAGAAATAAGGTGTAAATTTTTGACAGTGAGAGTAAGTAACCATTGAAACAATTTACCAAGAGTTGTGCTGGATTCTCCATCACTGGCTATTTTTAAATCAAGATTCAGAGCTTTTCTAAAAGATCTGCTCTAGGAATTATTTTGGAGACGTTCTATGGCCTCTTATACAAGAGGTCAGCCTAGATCAGAGGTTCTCAAACTGTGGCTTGGGACCACAAAGTGGGTCATGACAATATTCCCTCTAATTTTTGACAGGCCCTGTGTGTGCAAAAAATTACTTCTGTGCAAATTTTTGACAGGCTGTGTGCGCAAAAAATTTCTTCTGTGCAAATATTTGTGCTTCTGTGCAAATTTTTGTGCATGCCGTGTTTTGCTGTGTGCGCAGGGTTTAGGATCTGTGTGCGCGCGCAAACATTGCATGTTTCTAATATATTGTTATGATTATACTGTTGCACAATGATCCCTTCTGTGGGATCATTCGTGCTCCTGGAACGTCATCTGTGTGATGGGTCTGTATGCGGTGCCGTTGCTGGCCATACAGGCGTACACTATTGCAGCATTTGCAGAATATGTGGGCACCCATTTCTGGAGGCCAGTTTGTGTATTTCCAGAACTTGAAAAATGTGGGTGTTGCTCCCTTCCACTGCTATCAATCTCCCACACATGTAGCGCTGTGCAAAACAGTCACACTGATCACACTCAATCCTCCAACCCCAGGCTCTGTTTGACACCATTTGCCATCCTCTGCCTGGGCTCATGGTGGATCAGTGCACAGCTGCAGAGGCTCTCCCCTTAGTACTCCCCATGATGGATTCCACCACTCCTGTACTCAAACCCACCCTCTCCCTACACTCCACTCCAAGGTTTAGTTGAACAGGAGGCATGTGATAATTGTGAAGCAGATAACACACTCTCACGCTCTGCACAGAGCCTAACACAATTGCTCTTTTACTTAATCACATAAAGCACAAGACAATACAGATGATATAGAACACAAGAACCATCCTCAGCGCAATGTGCCTTGCTAGCTCACTCTTCCCTTGGGAGTCCTTGGAGGGACACCTGTGTCCAGGAAGGTAGGCAGGCAGGGTTTCCCCTGCCTCATGCAGGCTGTTACATGTTGGGTGGCTTATCCCACATGGAGTTTCCTTCCCCCAGCCTGTGACCTTGCTCTCTCCTGCACAGTGCTTCCCCTTCCTGTGTGGTGGCTGCATTGATATGCCCCTTTCCAATACTTGGCTTCCTTTGTTCTATCTTTTGGTAACTTTTCATTGTTCCATAAAAGCCCTCCCCTCAGATAGGATGGGTAAAACTGGCTTTTCCCTATGATGCAGTCACTGGGTGGAGTGAGGTGCTACTCATTGACAGGTGCTATGTATTTACAGGTAAATGTCTAGTTAAATAAAAAGAAACCACCTTTGCAAGGGTTTGCTCCATTTGTGCATCAATGTCAATGGAAAAAATCCTTTTGACTGCAGTGGAAGATGCCTCAGGCCATCGCTACAATACCTTTCTTACCAACCCCTTTTCCTCAGCATGCGTTCTGTGACTGAAGGAGCTTTTCTTCCCTGATTGTGAGTATATCTACACTGCACTGGGAAGTGTGATACCAGCGCAGGTATGCATACCCACACTAGCTTAAATGTAGCTAACGTGGCTAAAAGTAGCAAAGAAGATGCAGGAGCATGGGCTTCAGTGTGGGCTCCTCCTAGGTATGTACTGACATTGTTAGCTTGCACCTGGGTCTGCGCTATTGCGTCTTTTCTGCTACTCTTAGCCGTGCTATCTAGATTAAAGCCGCTTGGCAAGGCATTCCCATGCTAGCAACTGCATGTCCCACTGAAGTGGAGGCATACTTTGTGTTGTGGAGGCTGTTGCTCTGGATGTTGCATTAAACACTCCCTAAGACTTCTGTCTGCTTTCCTAAAACTCTGGTAGTACCGGTGACTAATTCGTAAAGGGAGAAATCCTCTCCCCAACTTTTAAGCTGTCTGTTCACTAAACTTTCCATCTCTAGGAAACAGCCTTCTCTGTTCATGTGCAGAATTTTCCGGTGATTTTCAGTGTCCTTTGCTGAATATATAATTCACGACCTCATTTACATTGGGCCACATCTGTTAGAGCAGGGGTGGGCAAACTTTTTGGGCTGAGGGCCACATCTGTGTGGGGAAATTGTATGCAGGGCCGGGGCAGAGGGTTGGGGTGCGGGAGGGAGTGTGGGATGCGGGAGGGGGTGTAGTGTGCAGGAATCTGCTCAGGGCAAGGGGTTGGGGCAGAAGAGAGGTGCAGGGTGTATGCGGGGGCTCAAGGAAGGAGATTGCAGTGCAGGAGGGGTGCAGAGTGCAGGAGAGTGCTCGGGGCAGGGGTGCAGGAGGGGCACGGACTGTGGGAGGGAGCTCAGGGCAGGGGGTTGGGGTGCAGGATTGGGCTCAAGGCAGGGGTGCAGGAGGGGTGCGGACTGCAGGAGGGAGCTCAGGACAGGGGGGGTTGGTGCGCAGGAGCGGTGCGGGGTGCAACAAGGGGCTCAGGGCAGGGAGTTGGGGTGCAGGAGGGGTGCGAGGTGCAGGCAGGGAGTTGGAGGGAGGGGTTCAGGCTCTGGCCCAGTGCCGCTTACCTGAAGCGGCTTCAGGGTGGCAGCAGCGCGCATGGGGCCAGGGCAGGCTCCCTGCCTGCCTGCCCTAGCCCCATTCCGCACCGCTCCAGGAAGCAGCCAGCACCAGGTCCCTGCACGGCCCCTAGGAGGAGGGGGGAGCACAGGGCTCCACAGGGCTGCCCTTGCCGCGCCTCCAGGAACCTCCCCCGAAGCTCCCATTGGCCACGGTTCCCCGTTCCCAGCCAATGGGAGCTGCGGGGGGTAGTGCCTGGAGGCAAGGGCAATTCACGGAGCCCTCTGCCTGCCCCCCCAGGCCTCAGGGATGTGGTGCTGGCCGCTTCTGAGAGCGACGCAGGATCTGCGCCACCACAGGGGGCAATCCTGCCGGCCGGATCCGGCCCGCGGGCCGTAGTTTGCCCACCCCTGTGTTAGATCCTTGTTTGCCTTTCCACCATTTAGATATTTCACAGCTAAATCACTGGATAGCATTAATCCTCATTGCACTGGCATTAAATTCTCTGCCTTTATTTTGTGCAACTTGTCCTTTAACAGGAGTTCACTCTCCCGCTCAGGAGAAGGTACCTCTCTCCCTTTCACTAAGATGCACCATTTGATACTCATTATCTCTTTTTCTTTTTTATGCTGAATTTCTGCAGGACTTCTGGGACCAACTCTGCATGCTGAAGTGGGAGACACTTTAGTAGTTCACTTTAAGAACATGGCCAACAAACCACTGAGCATTCACCCACAAGGCATAGCTTACAACAAACTATCAGAAGGTATGTGCTGTAAAATGCCATCTATTCTTTTTTTCTACTCAAGACTATATAATCTTAGATAGAGAAGGGCCGAAAACCAAGTCCAGGGTATGGACACCATCGACCTTTGATGTCAGGTCGTAATTTGGGCAGCAAGCAGGATGTAATTTGGTCCCCAAGAAAACATGGGCTCCAAGGCTACCTAGGGACATGAGGGGAATGCCTAGTGTAGGTAAGACAGTCTGTGTATAGGTCTCTTATTTTCAATCCATCTCTCTGAGTGCTGTGTGCCTTTTGGCAAACAAATCATACTTTTGTTTTGAAGAGGCTGCTTCTGTGTCACTGCGTACTACCACTGACCACAGGCTCCCCAGGAGAACCTCTTGCAGGTGCTAAGCTGTTGGGCCTGCTCAATATCATGGTTGGCAACCAGGGAGGTATGACCCAGAGACCAAGTCAGGGAGTGGTTGGATCAGGGGATCTCACCCCAAAAAGAAGTGGAGGCACAGCCCTGCCACTTGAAAGGGATGCAGTCGGGGGACTGGAACAGGGTCTCAGAAGGGGTGGCCTACCCAGGGACTATGACAAAGGGTACTTGGTATCTCCCAGGAGGAGCTCAGCTTCTTGCAAGATCTGGCCTTTGGCTGTCAGTTGTTAGAGGCATGGTACTAATATATCCTGCTGGTTGTCTAGAATGCCATAGAGACCAAATCAAACTTGAGTAAAGCTATCAGTTTAAAACAGTGCCACTCTATCCTGCCAAATGATTTACCAACATCCATTAATAAAATTAAGGATGGAATCCAATTTGATGTTAACTTCTTCTAACTGGCGCTCAATCAGCTAGATTGCATAGAGCTGCAAGTGCAACAAGGGGGTAGAAAATAGAGTGGAGAGGGAGGAAATGCTCAGAAAATCCCCCAAAGACTGATGACCTGTGACCTTTGAATCTAGTCTGTGGCTGTTTATGCACTAAATGAACTGCACAACATTGTCCTGCCTCCTCACACGCTGTTTACTGCAAACAGCTACAGTTTTCAGAAAGAACCTTACCCTAAAGATTGGGAACTATCCTCCCATACAGTAAAGATTGGGAACTATCCTCCCATACAGTAAATGTTTAAATGTGTGTGTTAAAGAAAATGTCTTTATATTCTTTCAGTTCCAAGGCTTTAGAGTTCAAGGTATTTGCCACCATTGGTAATGGGTTCGTTATTACTGAATATGCGCCCAATTTGCACTTTGTGTCTCATTTTCACCAGTGCAAAGTGAATGTAAAGCACTTCCATGTCAGAATGGTAGCATTTTACACTCCCTTTGCACTGGTTTCAGTGACTGCACGTGGGCTGTCAGCTTGCAAATATTTAATTGCATTAGGGTTGATGATGTCATAGGTGGTTGAAATGTTTTGAATCTCGAAACAATATCTGGAAAAATGTTCTCCCTTTTCAGCAACTCTCGAGGGGGTTGGGATTTTTTCAGATGTTGAAATTTCAAACTGTGTGAATACATTTTTTGCAAAAACGTCCAAGATTTCCCAGCCCACCCTTCCTCCACCCCACCCCCCAGTTCTAGATGATCTTGTTCCTTGCTATTAATCAGTTTGTCGGGAGAGCTCTCTGAGGTTTTCTTTAATGCCTTGTTCGTATGGTGAGCCCAAGAGGAGTTTTGCTCTCAGCTGAGTGGGAGCAGAGTCGAGCTCTGTGTTGAGGAACGATCACATGTCACTGAAAATCTCCGATTCTGTTTGATGATGGTTCAGGTTGATATTTCACTGATTTCTCATCTTATTTGCAGCTAGAATTTTGATAACCTCCAGGAAGCCTTCTTGTTAAGTGAACATATTTATTGGCTGTAGACAATGCAAACAAATTAAATACATAAATGCAATGTTATCACCATTCAGATTTGTAATGCACAAAAGTCGGAAGGCTGCAGTAGCTCCTACAGGGCCAGTGTTATGGAGGGAGGCTGGACCAGGATCAGTGGAGAGCTGGTGAATTGGGCAGCTAGTACCTTCTCAATCACTCCTGACTCCAACCATGGAGAGGCTGAGCAGTTGTACTATGCTCCCCCACCACATCAGCCTGGGTAAATGAAACCGACTACTGGTCTTGATTCTGCTCTCAGGGACACCAGTGAGAATCGGGAGTAACTCTGCTGAAGTGAATGGAGTTACACCATTGTAAAGCTGGTGCAGGTGAGAGAAGAATCAAGCTCTCTGTGTATGGGTGGCAATGGTAGTAAAAACCCTGTTCACACGTTCATCAGTCCCTCCCTCCCTCAATGCCACCTCTACCTCCCTCTCTCGACTTCTACCTATGCAGGTTCCCTGTATGCTGACCGAACATCTTCTTTTGAAAAACTGGACGATGCTGTGCCTCCAGGCCTGGTGTATAAATACACATGGGAGATCACTGCAGAAATTGGGCCTAAAGAAGCCGACCCTCCCTGTCTCACCTATATCTATTACTCACATGAGAACATGGTGGTGGACTTAAACTCTGGTCTGATTGGAGCATTGCTTATATGTAAAAAAGGTAACCAAAATGCTGTGGGTAGACAAAAGCTATAAAATGTCGGCTGGTCTACTGTTTCAGTGGCCTAGCACATTCTGATAGTGTTGCTTTCTGTTCTGGTAATGATAAAAACAAAAAAACATAAAAATCAAGCTTGAAGATTGTATCATAATGTGAGAAGGCATTTCATTTCCCTCTTCCCTTCTCGTGTTTCTGGGCAGGCAGTTTAGAGGAAACTGATTTTGTTTCCTCTGTCTTTATTTTAGGGCTCAAGGTTACAGTGTTCTGGACTAGCTGTAATGCACACTAGTTTCTGGAATAATTCTAATTGTAGGCAGGGCTGGTAACACCGCTTTATATTAAAGTTGCCTGACCTTTCCCATTTTGAGACCCCCAACTTCAGTTGCTTATAACTTCGTGAAACTTTAACTGTTCAGGCTGGAATTTACCATTCCAGGTGTCTGCCTCAGATGGAATTATTTTGGAAAGTTGTACCCAAAACTGTTCAACTGTTTCTGAGAAGGAGGCTAGGAAGAAACATTTTGTTTTGCCCATATTAAAAATGCTCCCTCTGCTGAACCTGTTCTGTGGATGCTAGAGGCTTTCAGTCTCCAAAGCTGCCAATCCAGCACCTTTCCCCAGAACTAAATTCACCTCAAGCACATTTTGAAAAGTCGTCCTATGTGCCCAGGTGCAGCTGGCACGTGCGGAAAGCTCACGGAATAGATCTGGATGCCTTTTAGTTGATGTGAGCTGCTTTTATTTTTGTCTTTATCTGATACCTCTTGTTTCCTCCCACAGGAAGCCTGAAGAAAGATGGGACACAGAAGCTGTTTGACAAAGAATATGTGTTGATGTTTGCTGTGTTCGATGAAAGCAAAAGCTGGCAAAAATCAACCTCTCTCCTGTACACGATTAATGGTTACGCTAATGGGACGTTGCCAGGTACCGTACGTACTCGTGGTGTCCAGCCAGAGTCCACAAACTGTGTATTACTCCTCACTGCAGCATACACTAGAGGGCTGTAGAAAGCAAACAGAAGGAGTAGAGTGGCACAGACTCGTGTATAACCTTACGTTGAGCATCTGGTTCCACAAGGGAGCATGTGTGCGCTCCCAACCACCACCGCTTTCCCCTGCAGTCTGCCCTTGGTGCCAAGCGCACATGGCTTCCAAGGGCGTGGCTGTTTGTGCAGAGAGACAATTAAATCTCTTCCTGCCACCCACTGGATAAGGAGTGAGGTTTTTCAAAAGCACCTACGTGAGTTAGGCACTCAACTCCCATTGGCTTCAATGGGATTTAGACTCCTAATCCACTTAAGTACTTTTGAAAATCCCACCCATGGCCTATACAGTATCCATCCTAGACATGGCCATTGAGATATCAGAGAGACTTTATTAAAAGTGCAGAGTGGGTATTCACTTTTCACCTACCAGTGGGAATTAGTGAACCATTCTGTGATTCTGGGATGATTCACCTGTGTTCTGAACCCTGCTGTTTTGTTTCAGACCTAGGAGCTTGCACATACGATAACATTAGCTGGCATTTGATAGGAATGAGCTCCAAACCAGAGATTTTCTCCATCCATTTCAATGGGCAAGTCCTGGAACAAAATCGTCGCAAGGTCTCGACCATCAGCCTTGTGGGAGGTGCATCGACCACAGCAAACATGACCGTGAGCCAGAAAGGAAGGTGGCTGATATCTTCTCTTGTCCAGAAGCATCTGCAAGGCAAGGGAACATCTGTTCAGGTGGCAGTTATACAGTTAGAGTGTCATTCTTGTCTCTTCCTCCTTATCTCCTAAAGTGCTGCTAAGTTTGTCAAATGTGGTGGCTAACGCATTTGGGATCATCCTAGGAAATCGGTGGAAACAGGGCATTTTGTTTAAATTAGGGTTGCAAGATGGGGCTTATTAGGATGACTTCTGCAAAGGGGCTAGAGGGCAACAATGAATATAACTTAGTTTTTAACTCTCTGGAAAGTGCTCAGATGAGCCTCATTATAAAAAAATCCTGGAGATTGACCAGCTTTTTCAGGAGAAACAGAGAACTTTTGCAGTTCAGTAGGCAAAAAATCTTTTCTGCTCATCTTTAACAGTGGATGTTAGTTTCCCCCTGGAGTGAACAGATCTCTGTTGTAATGGATCAGTGGATTCCCTCTTGTGAAAGGTTGGAGGGCTCATTTAACAGAAAAGGGGCAGTTCTTGCTGTCAGTTAGGCTGGTATTTTCAAGGGAGGCTATGCGAGTTAGTTGCTGAGCTCTCAGTGACTCCCACAAGCCCCTTTGAAAATACCACCCTTAATGCCTGAACTCTTCTTTTTTTTTTCAACCCGAATAGACTCAGGTCAATGAGTGAATGTTTTCATGCATCCTGAGCTGATGGGCTGTAGGAATGCCGTGTTCATAGGACTAACAGTAACCATTGTACTGTGTCTCTCTTCAACCAGCTGGAATGCACGGTTACCTCAACATAACAGAATGTGCGGGGAAAGACGTGTTCAAGAAGAAATTATCCTTTAAGGAATTGCGTATGATTAAGGACTGGGAATATTTCATTGCTGCGGAAGAAGTCACCTGGGATTATGCTCCAGAAATTCCAGAGACCATTGATAGGTAAAACGGTGAACTATACTGTGCTGATGAATGTTAACTTGAGGCGGCTTAGGAAATGCGCTATATAATGTAAAGTCCTAGCCCTTAAGAACTCCTTCTGCATATTTTTCACAGGAACTCAATCTTGTAGAAGAGGAGGAATATTAGAGGCAGGGTTGCATGGTATTTATGGAATGCACTATGTAGAAGTCCTAGGGTATGTCTACACTACAAAATTAGGTCAATTTTATAGAAGTCGATTTTTAGAAATCAATTTTATACAGTCGATTGTGTATGTCCCCACCAAGTGTACTAAGTCGGTGGAGTGCATCCTCAATACCGTGACTAGGATCGACTTACGGAGCGGTGAACTGTGGGTACCTATCCCACAGTTCCCACAGTCTCTGCTGCCCATTGGAATTCTGGGTTAAGCTCCCAGTGCCTGATGGGGCTAAAACATTGTCAAGAGTGGTTTTGGGTACATGTCGTCAGTCGCCCCCCCTCCCTCCTTGAAAGCAACGGCAGACAATCGTTTTGCCCCTTTTTTCCTGGGTTACCCATGCTGATGCCATATCACGGCAAGCATGGAGCCCACTCAGCTCACCGCTGCTGTTGTGAGCATTGTAAACACCTCGCGCATTATCTTGGAGTATGTACAGAACCAGGCTAAGAGACACCAGCACGAGGATGATTGTGATGAGGACATGGACACAGACATTCCTGAAAGCATGGGCTGTGGCAATTGGGACATCATGGTGGCAGTGGGGCTGGTTGATACAGTGGAACGCCAATTCTGGGCCCAGCAAACAAGCACAGACTGGTGGAACCGCATAGTGTTGCAGATCCTGGAAGCCTAGGGAGTCTGACACTGCAAGGCAGCAGGAGGTTTCCTAGGCGAGTGGTGCTGTTGTGCAGACAAAGGCCATGTCTATGCGACAAAATGATGTCGACCTAAGTTACATCAGCATACAGCCACTGCAGTAATTACATCAGTTTTGCGTGTCCACACTGCACTGTTTTTGTCGGCGGTGCGCATTCTCACTAGCAGCACTTGTATCGATGCAAAACGAGTCGCGCAGGGGTGACTAGGAACATGATTTCAACGTCCCATAATGCAGTGTTCTCCATCCCATAATTTCATCTGCATCCCATAACGTTCCACGCCTCTTCTCAAAATCCCCACAAACCTGTGCATCCCTCCTGGCTGTCCATTATCTGTGTCAGAAGCATGGATCCTGCACAGCTCTGCACTGATGTGATGAGTGTTGTGAGAATGGCATGCCTGGTCCTGCAGTATTTGCAGAGCCGCCAGATTTGCTGCAGGGAACGTGACAATTTCTCGGAAGCTAGATTTGCTCTGGGACATAGAAAGAAACAATTCAAAGTTGTTGACGGCATTCATGATGGAGCTGGAGCTGGAGCTGGGCCGGAGAAAGAAGCATTGACGGGTGGGATCACGTCAGGTTTGGGAAGATGAGCAGTGGCTGCAGAATTTTCGGATGTTCTTGGATCTATGTGCTGAACTCACCCCAGCCCTCCTGCGCAGCAACACCAAAATGAGATCTGCACTGAGAGTGGAGAAGTGAGTGGTAATTGCACTGTGGAAACTTGCAATGCCCGACTGCTACTGATCAGTTGGGACTCAGTTTGGAGTTGGGAAATCCAACAAGTTTCCACATACACAGGTCAGTGTATTTGCAGCTGTGATTGTCCAGGGTGGTGTGGTAGGGATAGTGCAGTGGCCCCAGAGGTCCCAGAATGCAGTTCTCTTTGGGCTGCAGAAGGAGGCGAGCACAAGATGGTTGAACCTGAAGCTCAACAAGAGTCTGCAGCATGTCTGTTTGCTGCTTGAGAAGCGCTAGCATCTCCTGCTGCACATCTCTGTCCTTTTCCTGCACCTTTCTCCTCTCCGCTCTATCCTTGGCCTGCTGTCCTCAAGGGTGAACATCCAAGCCCCGTGCTTGGTATCCGAAGCAGCAGAGGCTTGCAGGATCTCTTGGAATATGCCATCCCTCTTCTTCCTTCTCCTCCTTATCTGGCTGAGCCACTCTACTAGTGTGGATGGAGAGACACCCCCCCCCCCCAAGCCACATTTCCAACTGCAAAGGGTACAATGCACAGAGGTACTACTGTGAGTGTATTCACAAGATAAATGGAAACTTGGTAAACTGAACTCACTCCCCTTCATCCACACAAGTTGCAAGCACTAGATTCTCATTTCTCCTTGTGATCGATACTGGCTGCAGTCCAGTCATCATGAGTACAACCATGAAGGGAAGGGTTGGGGGGGGAAGATGGGGATAGCTCACGGGCATGAGTGTGTGCATCTAGGGCAATTGAATAGAATACTGGCACTGTTTTCCACAGGCGGTGGTGATTTTAGCTGATATCTTACTCTTGAGGGTAATGGAGGCTGGAAGGGAACAGATCCTGCAGGTATCTGGCTGCAAACCAGGGACGTATGCTGCCTGTCCGTGTGCTGCAATGGTTCTGGTTGAAGTAATCGCTGAGGGTATGTCTATATTACAAAATTAGGTCAAATGTATAGAAGTCGATTTTTAGGAAGCGATTTTATACAGTCGATTGTGTGTGTCTCCAGTAAGCGCATTAAGTTGGCGGAGTGCGTCCACAGTACCGTAGCGTACTGGGTAGTGTCAACTTTCGGAGTGTTGCACTGTGGGTAGCTATCCCACAGTTCCCGCAGTCTCCGCTGCCCATTGGAATTCTTGGTTGAGCTCCCAATGCCTGATAGGGCAAAAACATTGTCGCGGGTGGTTTTGGGTACATGTCGTCAGTCGCCCCTCCCTCCGTGAAAGCAATGGCAGACAATCGTTTCGCACCTTTTTTCCATGCAGACGATATACTGCCGTCAGCAGACGGTGCAGTAGGACTGCTAACCGTCATCATCATCCACTGCTTCCGCTGCAACTCTGCTCTCCTGGTGCCATGAATCCACCTTGCAGGTCGTCTCGTCGTTCTGTATAAATATCTATTCTTGTGGCATCAGTCCTCATCCACCACTTCCGCTGCAACTCTGCTCTTCTGCAGACGCCATACCACGGCAAGCATGGAGCCCGCTCAGCTCACCACTGCTGTTGTGAGCATTGTAAACACCTCGCACGTTATCCTGCAGTATGTGCAGAACCTGCAAAAGCAGGCGAGGAGGCGATGGCAGTACGGTGATGAGCGTGATGAGGACATGGACACAGACTTCTCTCAAAGCACGGTCCCTGGCAATTTGGACATCATGGTGGTAATGTGGCAAGTTCCTGCCATGGAACGCCGATTCTGGGCCTAGGAAACAAGCACAGACTGGTGGGACCGCATAGTGTTGCAAGTATGGGATGATTCACAGTGGCTGCGAAACTTTCGCACATGTAAGGCCACTTTCCTTGGACTTTGTGAGTTGCTTTCCCCCGCCCTGAAGCACAGGAATACCAAGATGAGAGCTGCCCTGACAGTTGAGAAGTGAGTGGCAATAGCCCTGTGGAAGCTTGTAATGCCTGACTGCTACCGGTCAGTAGGGAATTAATTTGGAGTGGGTAAATCTACTGTGGGGGTTGCTGAGATCCACGTAGCCAATGCAATCACTGATGTTCTGCTATCAAGGGAAGTGACTCTGGGAAATGTGCAGGTCATAGTGGATGGCTTTGCTGCAATGGGGTTCCCTAACTCTGCTGGGGCGATAGATGGAACGCATATCCCTATCTTGACACTGGCCCACCATGCCCACCAGTATGTAAGCCGCAAGGGGTACTTCTCAATGGTGCTGCAAGCGCTGGTGGATCACAAGAGATGTTTCACTGACATCAACGTGGGATGGCCAGGAAAGGTGCATGACGCTTGCATCTTCAGGAACTCAGGGCTGTTTGAGCAGTTGCAAGAAGGGACTTACTTTCCAGACCAGAAAATTACCGTTGCGGATGTTGAAATGCCAATAGTTATCCTTGGGGACCCAGCCTACCCCTTGCTCCCATGGCTCATGAAGCCGTACACAGGCAGCCTGGACAGTAGTAAGGAGCAGTTCAACTATAGGCTGAGCAAGTGCAGAATGGTGGTAGAATGTGCCTTTGGATGTTTAAAAGCTCGCTGGTGCTGTTTGCTGACTAGGTTATACCTCAGCACAACCAACATTCCTATTGTTGTTGCTGCTTGCTGTGTGCTCCATAATACCTGAGAGAGTAAGGGGGAGATGTTTATGGCGGGGTGGGAGGTTGAGGCAAATTGTCCGGTGGCCGATTGTGCACAGCCAGACACTAGGGCGATTAGAAGAGCACAGCTAGGCACGCTGTGCATCAGAGAAGCTTTGAAAACCTGGCCAGGCTACGGTGTGACAGTTCTGTTTGTTTCTCCTTGATGAAAACCCACCCCCTTGGTTGACTCTACTTCCCTGTAAGCCAACCGACCTCCCCCCTTCAATCACTGCTTTCAGAGGCAATAAAGTCATTATTGTTTCAAAATCATGCATTCTTTATTAATTCATCGTACAAACGGGGAAAACTCGCAAGGTAGCCCAGGAGGGGTGGGTGAGGAGGGAAGCACTGGGTGGGGTGGTGGATGAGGGGAGGCAGGAAGGACAAGGCCACACTACAGTTCAAAACTTATTGAATGCCAGCCTTCTGTTGCTTGGGCAATCCTCTGGGGTGGAGTGGCTGGGTGCCCGTAGCCCCCCCCACCCCCCGCGTTCTTGGCATCTGGGTGAAGAGGATATGGAACTTGGGGAGGAGGGCAGGTGGTTATACAAGGGCTGCAGCAGTGGTCTGTGCTCCTGCTGCCTTTCCTGCAGCTCCACCAGATACCTGAGCATGTCAGTTTGCTCCCCCATTAGGCTCAGCGTTGCATCCTGCCTCCTGTCATCACGTTCATTTAACGGTTTCCTGGACTCTGCCATTGTCTGCCTTCACGCATTCTGCTGGGCTCTTTCAGTGCGGGAGGACTATATGAACTCTGAGAACATGTCATGGCAAGTGCGTTTCTTTCGCCTTCTAACCTGCACTAGCCTCTGGGGTGGAGATGATAGG